ACAAAGACTAATAGAAGAACAAAGGTTGCTTTCTTTATAAATTTATTATTAATGTAATTCTAAAAGTTAAAGGCAATTATAAAATTTTAAATCCGATTTTAATAATTAGAGCCTAAGAATTAGGGCTCCAGCCCACAAAACGCCGCCGTTTTTCTAGTATATAGTTAACGGTATCTCCATTTAAGAATTTCAGCCAATAAAAGTTGATGAGTTTAACATGATTCGAAAAAACCAATCATAGGGCATATTTTTTCCACTTTAGTCGCACAATCGATTTTTGCACTTTTTTTTTTGTGTAAACAATGCTTTTTTTATGAAATGCCCCAACTGCAACCGCTGAAAATTGAATGCATTTTCATCGATTTCTCAAACGTTGATTACCAATTCCCAGACCATCTGTTCCAACAAAGCATTCCGATATGCTATTATCAAATTGGCACCATCTACATCGGATTTCATGATAAATCCAGCCCCCTTTCCCGTCATTCCTTGCCAACAATAAACAGTACCTGCAGGTAAATCCGTACCTAATAGGCGTGGATGCAAGCGTTTAGCTACCATGGTATAAAACAAAAAACATAAACATAATCTGACGAATCAGCGAATTACCTTGCAGTTTATAAAGCAAAGTACGAGAAAGCGTATGCAGAATATCAAAGTGAGAATAGGTTATTAAAAAAGTGGCAAATTTAAAGAGGCGCCTCGCTAGATTCGAAAATTATGGGTTCGATGGTGGTTTAGGTATTATATCTTCGGATTTTTAAAAATTTTTTATATATAGTTTGCAACTATTATATACGTATCGGCGGATTCGTGGAATAGAAAACCCATAAGCAGTAATTCTGGTCAACTTTGGAGATCATTTGGCCAACTTTGAAGTCAAATAATTTCAAATTTGACCGAATGATCTGCAAATTTGACCCGAGCTACGGCTCATAGGATTTTATATTCCACAAATCCGCCGTGGTGAGCAGTATTTATATGTTATTTTATAACAATTTTTAAATAATTAAATATTGTTTAATATCTATTATCCGGTAAACTCATATGATCATGAAAAAATTTTTTTTTGTTATTTTTTTTCATGCGTTACGATATAATTGTTTATTCTAATATTCAAATTAAAAATCAGCGAGCGACTCCCAATCATATAAATTGCCGGATAACACCACGAATATGGTAATTTGACAAATGATTGGCTACACGTGCCGCTTTGCGGCACGTGCTCATTTGCCAAATTACCGTTATTCAACAATGTTTTTGCCCATAATGTTTAATATAGATTAATTGGGATCTTTGCTAGGAAAATCACCATTCGGGATTTTCCGATCGGGCTAATTCGGAAAGGCTATGTTTTTATTTATTCGAAAGTTTATTTGAATAAGCAAGATGTTTTACATATGAATAAGAACCAACATTCTGGTCTAAGCTTTTCCGAATTAGCCTATCGGAAAATGATTTTTTGATATGAAAAGTTACGGCGTGGCGTAACTTTTTATTAAGCTACAAATAAGCCGTAACTCAATTTGCCGTATCTCAAAAATTCATTGGGACTTCATTGGGACGATTCTACCGCATCACTAGTTAAAAGCTATCACTATGATAGAAACTTTATTGGCATATATAGAATATAGTACATGACTATTAAGAGTATAACTAGCTATTGGAAGACAAACTGCTTTTCCCAATCAAAAATGGCATCTATAGGTCCAATCGGAAGTGGGAAAGAAATTAGGGCTTTCTGTACATAATAACTTTTGAAATACATGGTATAATATAGCGATAGAATCATTGTCTATTTTTCATGCGCAATTAAATGCAGTCTTCAATATTATTAATAATTTGAAAGATAATCATTATGTTTAATACCGAAATAGCGGGCATGGGCGTTATTTCGAATTTTGGCCCGAATTAAGCTTAATTCGGGCCTAAATTCAAAATAACGCCCATGCCCACTATACGGTATTATCTGTTTTAGTAAAGAAAAATAAATAAAATTTATATCCAAGTTATATCCAAATTTTTATTGTAATTCAAATAAAAATTTTCAATTTGATACAGTATTCAAATATATTTGGTCTCTGTGTTGGAGTAGTTAATGGTTTTAATAACAATTCGCAGCCAATCAAAATTCTAAGGTAGGTATCAGGCATGTTTGCTTTCAAAAAAAAGTTGCAAACTCTCTAAGAACACATACCATAATTTCATAATACATTAATTCTTGTTTTTTATAATAAGATTTTATGATATATACATTAAATAAGATATTTGGAATCCCAAAATAAAATAAAGACAATTTTTGAGCTATTAAAATTATACCGTATTGGCGCGTCATTTCGAGACCCTGCGCGTTATTTTGGGATGCGCATGCTATTTGGGCATTATTTTTAGTAAAAATAACGTCCATGTGCGTTATTACGCGCCAATACGGCATAAATAATGAACATTTAAATAATATACTGACGAATATTTATAAGTACTACTAGTTTCATATTAGAATTCAGCTTCAGTAGCCACAATCAGTGTTGGAAATTATATGTTCACGGTGTTCACAAGAGCATAAATTTTTTTAAAAATCAATATTTTATTTTTATGTTTACATTTATGAACATAATAACTTTTATCTAATTCATGTAGAATCCACCAGGGCGGCCACGAAAATTACGGGTCACATGACATTGTCGATTGTACCCGGCCCGCCGACCCATGATGA